AAAACCAAGTTACTACAATCAAACAATCAACAAATTAATTGATAGGATCAATCACTTTAAAAACTATAACACCAAGAATTAAATGGTTTGAAATATTATTATAATTAAGGAAATTAACAAAATGTCATTTGTTTATTTTTCATTATCTAAAAAATTAAGTAAATAAACATAATCTAACAACCAACAGATTAGTTGATGAAAAGAAAGAATCTTTTGAACTTTAAAGATACGGAAGCCGTTAGTGATCACATTACTTATACTATAAAAAAAATTGGTGCATAATTGGTACCATTTTTGGTGTTGAGGTAAGTTTAACTTTTTTTAGTCATATTTTTATTTAATTTTACATTATTATAGTTTTATTTAATTATTTATTCATTTTTTGTTTGTTTATTTACTGACAACACATATTTTCATGCACATTAGAATCAATTTATAACTTCATTGCAAACACACGTTTAATGATGTAATCTCCCTAATTCTTTCAAACAACAGTTTTTTGTCTATATTATATAATTTTTTACACGATAACTAGAGTTTTGTACTTAAAAACGCATTTAGATTACCGCAACACCAAAAATAGTGAGAACTATTTTTGATATAACCGAAATTTTTTGCAGTGTTGGTAAAATGCTGAAAAAATGTTACTTCCACCCCCGTACGGAGAAAATAAGTTAATCTGCAAATTAATTAGGTCATGACTCGCAACTTTCAAGCTTTACCGGTTACATATACATATAAAATAAATATGTGGCTATTATAAAAAAAAAAAAACTGCTAGTATAAAAAATATACTTGCGTACTATTACGCACGTACGTATTGTTACAATACTATTATAATATTACGTACTACTATAATATTATGTACTATTATAATATAAGGGCGTAAGTAATATGAGTATGCATTATAACATGCGTGCTATTATAAAAAAGTATAGTATCCATTTGTCACAAATGAAAATATTTATTTGGCCGAAATGTAGCGAAGAAAATTACAAGTTAATCTGCAGATTAGCTAGATTATGTCCACATTGGCGACCTTCAAGCCTTACCGGTAACATATGAATGTGAAATAAAATATGTGGCTACCATAAAAAACTGCAATAATAAAAAATATACTAACGTACTATTACGCAAGTATGTATTGTTACAATACTATTATAATATTATATGCTATTATAAAGTGAGTAAGTAATATACTTAAGCGCTATAACATACATGCTATTATAAAAAAATGCAGTATCTATTTGTGCCAAATGAAGATATTTATTTGGCCGACATGTAGCGAAGAATATAATAAGTTAATCTGCAGATTAGCTTGATCATTGGCGACTTTCAAGCTTTAGCATTAACATATGTATGAAATAAAATGTGTGACTATTTTAAAAAAATACTATCATAAAAAATATGCTATTCATACTATTACGTACGTACTATTATAATCTTACATACTGTTATAATATACGTACGTCTGAAACATGCGCATGTATTATAATATACGTATTATTATAAAAAAATTAAAATATTCATTTGTGCCAAATGAAAATATTTATTTGGGCTCATTTTATACTAACAAAAAAAATGCAGCATTTCTTCGCCAAATATTATGAATTTTATTTTAGTATTCCTTCTGTTTTATGGATTAATTAATTCTGTAAACGATAAATCCGTTTTCTGTTGTAAAATAATCCCAAAAAAACAGAGTTACCATCAAACTTTTGATCTGATACAATGCCAGAAGCAGCTAAATCCCATTTTAAGTTCGGATGGAGTTACTGATACAAAACATAAAAGTTTTCCGACCCGCTTCCCGGAGTTATTTTTTATTCTCAGAAATAAAGCTCATTTTGAACACTCAAAGTTAATGACCCTCCGGACAAACGTTAAAAATTTCGTAAATTCTAGTTTTATTCCCCCGTTAGATTACGAATCAGAAATTTGCCTTACTTCCATGTTGTTATGTTTCGCGGGAGTTAGTTAATGTACCACAATAAAAAATTTATGTATTTAGATGGTATTTCTTGAATTATTTAGAGGGGAGGACTTTTCTTAAATTATTTTCTTCTTCTTTATCTGTGTTTGTTGGGCTGTTCAACTTTTGCAGATAATCCAGAATTAACTGTATATTTCTAAATGAATATCCGCACTAAACGAGTAACCAATTGATTTTATTGGACAAAATGTTCAGCATGCAATTACCTTTGCTGCCCAAAGCAAAATTTATTCCTTTTTTGCATCGTTGGAGAATAATTAATTGTATATTACTAAGTGAATATCAGCACTAAATGAGTAACCATCTGATTTTATTGGAGAAAATATTCAGCATGCAATCCCTTTGCTGCCCAAAATAAAATAAATTTTTTTTTCGTATCTTTCGAATAGAATTAATTGTATATTACTAAATGAATGAGCCGCACTAAATGAGTACCTATTTGATTTTATTGGAGAAAATATTTAGCATGCAATTCCTTTGCTGCCCAAAGCAAAATACATTTCTTTTTCGTATCTTTCGAATAGAATTAACTGTATATTACAAAATGAATGAACTGCACTAAATGAGTAACCATTTGATATGATTGGAGAAAGTGTTCAGCATGCAATCCCTTTGCTGCCTAAAGAAAAACGCATTCCTTTTTCGTATCTTTCAAGTAGAATTAATTGTATATTACTAAGTGAATATCCGTACTAAATGAGTAACCATTTGATTTTATTGGAGAAAGTATTCAGCATTCAATCCCTTTGCTGCCGAAAGCAAAATGCTTTTCCTTTTTGTATGTTTCCGGCGAAGTCTCAAAGTGAAGCTGTAAGCTATAAAATCAGAGCTCAAAGTGTTTTAATTTATTTTGCCTTTTGAAAAACAAATTTTAGAGAATCTGACAAAGCTTAATTAATTTTATTGATGAGGGAAGAGAATTAAATATTAGAATTTTAGTTTAAAAAAAAGAGAGAGAGAGAGAGAAACTATAATTTAACATACTCTAATATTAAAGTTACCCGATGAGAAATATCACTAAGTAATTAATATTACATTACTAATAATTAATCGGAAAATTAATCTAATTTACAAATACAGAAAAAGACAAAAAGGTGAATTAATAATTAAAACATTATATCAAAATGGAAAAGCGCCTAAAGCAGTTAAAACCAAATTTGCTTTATTTTAGTTTAGAAATTCAAACAAACAATTAAAGGAGGAAAAAGTAATAAAAAGCAATAAAGTAAAAGATATGTGTGTTGGCAAGACAGCACTGTCTACCAACACACAGGAGCCTTTCTGTTGTCAGTGGAAAAACCAAAACTGACAGTGTTCCGAGGCCCCATAATGGATAGACAAATAAGAGAAAATTATTTCTGTGCTTTTCAATTCTTGTAATGATTTTCTCATATTTGTCTATCATAATGGGGCCTCGGAGCACTGTCAGTTTTGGGTTTTCCACTGACAACAGAAAGGCTCCTGTGTGTTGGTAGACAGTGCTGTCTTACCAACACACATATCTTTTATTTTATTGCTTTTTATTACTTTTTCCTCCTTTAATTGTTTGTCTTAATTACTAATAATTAATAATATTATACAACATTAATATCTTAATATGTATAAAAGTTAATAAAATAAATAGCATATATATTAAATAATATAGATTTATGTATTCGCCTAATATTTTTACAATTAATAATATTAATAAAAGTTCATTTATTAGCATAGTTATAACTAACTGTAATTAGTTATCGATTAAAAAAATGTTAAAGTGCAACAGCTCGATCCAATTTATAGCCATAAGTATATGGTATAGAGAACAAAAAAATTATGATTTAAAAATGTGAAATTTAAAATTTAGCATTATAAAACAATAACTAAATTGAAATTTTTATGTTCCCAGGTAAAATAATCTAGGAATCTTAATCAATTTGAAACTAGTGATTTTTTGATTTTTAAATATAGATTTCTGCATAATTTTGGCTAAATAATTTTTATATCGATGCAAAAATTGAAGTTAATTAAAATTAATTATAAAAATCAGTTGTTTTAACCAGAACTGCGGAGTCGGTAGATTAAATGTTAGACTCATTTTTCTGTGAAAGTAGGACTCTAATTCTAAATCTAACTTAGATTCTGTTGAAATTACTCATAAACATACATTCTGTTGAAATCACATAACCTAGGAATGTATTAATATTATATTTGTCTCATTTCGTAACAATTTTAACTTAACAATGATAATACGACTATTAAAATATAATAATTATTAATATTTTTAATAATTTTAATTATTTTTTATAATATTTATTTTTATAAAAATAATTTATTTTTATTTGTGCATAATTTCTGCTTAATATTCTGTTAAATTTATCACATAATTCTAGCAAAGTATTAATATTATATTTGCTTCATTTCGTAATGATTTTAATTTAGCAATGATAATTCGACTACAAAATATTATAATTATTAATAGTTGTAATAGTTTTAATAATAATTATTTTTATTTGTACATAATTTTTGGTTAATATTCTGTTAATATTTTTGCATAATCCTAGGAAAGTATTGATGTTATATTTGCATCACTTTGCAATGATTTTAACTTAATTGATTAATAAATTGATTATTCGACAAAAAAAGTTTAATAATTATTAATGTTAGAAAAAATTGTAATTATTTTTTTGATAATTATCTTTATAAAAAAATATTTTTTCCTAAAAATAATTAGTTTTATTTGTAATTAGTTTATAATAATTTTTTATAAGATCAAATACTTCTTTTTGACTTATAAAAACTAATTTTTAGCCTTTGAAACTAATTTTTAGCGTAGTCAGAATCGAGTAAATTATTCCAACCTCGACTGCACAACCCTGATTTTACCAAACAACAAAATTATTTTGCCCAAAAAATAAACAGAAAAAAGATGCTACCAATAAAAACTTTTTACTGCCAAGATCCGCCACTTCCCCTAACTTTAATGGACATAAAACAGATGACCAATAATGGCGTCTCAGAAGTCAATTTAGCGGGAAACTCTGGGTTCCTTCTCCTCGGAGTCTGCTCCGAAGCGCGCCAGTCATTGACGTCACACGTGACGTAACGACATGGCGGAAATGTGTCTTCTCATGGAATACTGGTGCTCGCTCATAGGACTGAAGATGTTTTTTTAAGAGCGGTGTGGTATGAACGGTCTTAGGAACAGGTTGTTTAAGAAGTTGTGTAGATTATGTAATCCAGGTGTTTACTCCACAACCATTGGAGTTAATTTCCTAGCAGCATGGCCCTACTCTGCGTAACTGGTGAGTTCGAGTCCGGATCACTATCTCATCATCCTGCTATTCATCTTGTGTGTAAAGGCGGTCTAATAGACCTCTTTCCTCTCATAATCCTCTTGTGCATTCTTCAGTATTTATCCTTACCTTATAATAGGCGAATTGAGCCGAGCGATATCCTCAAAGGCACTGAACGGGTGCAGATAGTGAAGCTCCACTACCCTTCAATTTTGAATGTTTTTAATAAGTAGTGCATAAAATTCAAAATAAAAATAAATCGCAATTATTTATTGAATAATTGATGCAGAGTTGTGCTCTCCAGAGGGATATTTACATCATTTGTGGCTTGATTTGATGCATGAAATGGAATCGCAATGTTATGTGGATGTTTATGTGTTACTGTGATTAGTTGTTTATAAAGCTTTCAGGATCTAATATATTTAATTGCTTTTTTTATTTCTTAATCCTTTACGTCATTTTTTTGCGACAGGTGTGGATTATCTCATCATTATCAGGTAGTATGGTGTGTTTTGTTTGTTGTGTTGTATGAAGGATGCCCTTATCTTTGCCAAATCCTGTTGGGATTTCTCATTCCTTAAACGATTTTGGTGTTTATTTTTTGTGTCAACATGGTTATCAGTTTGTATTGCTTTGTTATGTCTGGCCTAATTAATTATGCTCTAAATAACATTGATTTACTGAGCAAAGATATTGTGGAAAATATCAAAGTTTATACCCAGAATCACTTACAATCATTCACTATGAATAAAATTAAATTCTTTTTCTAATTTAAATTGTAGAGCTATTAATCACATTAAATGTTATTCCTAGCCTGGCAATCTTAAACAATTAATATTTAAGTAGATAGTAAACTAGTTGTGAAGAAAAATAATATTTACTTTAAATATATCATTAAAAATGAGGGTGCACAAATAATAATAAATTTGAATTCAATTTTTACATTTACTGATATTGATTTAATTATTCATTAGTATAATAAGAACATTTTCTAGTTATCCTAGATATTAATTGGCAATGTAGAGACAATTGAATTTATTTCAAAAATATATAATTTTCAAATCAATTACAACTTTAGTTCTTCACAATACCCATGTCTTTTTTTTCTTCTTTAAATGAGAAGAAAAATAAATTATTTCACGTTTTTGACTTTCTCTGTTGATAAATCAATTATGTATCTATATATTACTGTATATTAATTAAGTGTTTCTTTAATTAATAGATAAGTCTTTAAGCTACATTCTTTTTAAACTTGCTTTCATTTAAGAAAATAAAAAAAGGAAAAAGTTGAGAGAATTCAGTCTTTTAATGTTTAGATATATTTTGGATTTTTTATAATATTTTTTTATTGTTTTTAATTTGTTTTAAAGAAAATTTCTTTCAATAGTTATTTAGATACAATTAGTTCTCAATTGCAAGATACATTCATAATTCATGCTTTCCTAATTTACGAATATGATTAAATTTGACAGCTAAAACATTAAACATAGTTTTTAATTATATGTTTATTTATGGGTGAAGTAAGTTGGTAAATGTTTAAATCAAAATTATTTATAATGTCTTTAGTTACTGATTAATTGTGTGTTTTAAAATGTTGAGGTTTGAATTTTATAATCTTAAGTTTTAAATAAAATTAAAGATTTAGCAATGAATGTGACATTTTTTATTTCTGCCAATCAATTTTTATTTTTGATAATTTTAATAAAATGGTAGTGGTTGTGGCCCTCGAATGATTACGTGCGACATCTTGCCTGTTAGTCAAAAAATAATTTGAAAGTTAGATAATTAAATTTCTTTAGAAATTTTTTGATAAACCTAGTCAAATATCGAAAGTATTATTAAGAACCTATTTTTTTTAACCAAATTTTTTTTTTAATCATGAAATTTTTAATACTGTAGTTTAAAAGTTTATTTTAAAAGCAAAAAGAAAATGTACATTATCAAAGGTTTAAGATTATTTTTCAGTATCAAAATATTTAATTTTATTAAAAAAAAAAAGACAATATGCATCAAAGCTTTAAATTTAAGAATGTACCTCTAGCCATAGTAGAAGTAATAGATTTTAATTCTGTTTTTGTTCATAATTATCATTGTTTCAAGATATATGTATTTTTAATAACTGACTTCTCAATGTTTGAAAGAATTTTTCTTAATTTTTATTTTTTAATAGTATGTTTCATTTTTGAATGCAGTGCTAATTATTATTTAAAAAAAAAATGAGATAGGTTATTGTAGAAGGATAATTCTTTATTCTTGAAATTTGTAATTTTATCTTGAATTTTGAAACTTGATGAAAAATATTGATGCTATCTTTTGTTAAGGCATACCTATCCTTTTTAGTAATTTAATCAATATATTGTTATTGGAAAAATTTGTCCTATGTATTTAAAATTTGTTATTTATTTTTTAGTGGCATTTTACTTCATGTCAAGAAAGTAACCTAAATATTAAATTAATTATCGATTATTGGGGAAAATTTTAAATAATATAAATCATGATTTACTTAACTAAGTGGGAAATTAACTCAGATTTGAGCTGCTAGCAATATCTACAAACTGCTATGTGAGATTCATAATTCATGTTTGTTTATGAATCACTATATTGTATTATCAAATCATGTGATTGATGATAATGTGTCTAAAAAGTGATTAGCAAATAACTTTCGAATAAGAAACATTTCTCTTTAAACAATATAGTGTCTTAAAATTGGTTAACCACAAGACTGTTCAATTCCTGAAATCTAATTATTGACATGATTGGATATATAACAATAAGTTTTTCATAGAACATAGATCGCAGTCAAAATTTCAGTAATCGAAATCTGTGTTCCTGAAATTCCTGAAATCTAATTCCTAATAATTCCTGATATCTAATTATTGACAGGATTGGATATATAACAATAAGTTTTTCATAGAACATAGATCACAGTCAAGATTTCTGTAATCGAAATCTGTGCTGGTCTTGATAAGTTCAGATCAACAATGTTCTGCTTTATCTTCATATTGTCAGCAATGTTTACATTAATTATTTAGTTAATTTGGTATCCAATTTTTTAAAAATGTATTGAAAAGTAAACCACTAAGAAAAGAGTTGCAATAAGTCGGTTGCAATTAAAGAAAGAAAGTTTGCAACTATATTTCTTAGCAAGTCATTTGTGTGATTTGTTGTATGCATATAATTCATATTTGAATGAATTTTTTTTAAAAATCTGTACAGTTTTGTCAGTTTTACTACAGTACAGAACCCGTTATCCGCAAATCAGAAAACTGGAACGAAATTCGATAAATTTTCTCAACTTTAAAAGTTTTGTGAGCTTTGAGATTAATGATAATGCAATGTTGCATAGCCGAGACTAAATGGAACATTGGAAAGTGATCCTGTTCTACCACGACAATGCAAAGCCACGCACAATTTTTCCGCATACAAAATTATTTGTGGTTAGTGGAAGTTTTGTGTTTCTAATAGTCCCAACCTTGCACAATCAAATTATCATTTATTATGAAGTTTTTAAAACGTTCCAGATTGTAAAAATTTCAGTTATAACTATCACCTCAATTTGCATTTCGTTGAGTTAATCGCTATGGACCATAAGTTTTTTGAGCATGATGTTCAAACATGAAGAAACCTGAAAGATGACAAAAGGTCATCGAACAGAATGGAAGATATATGACTGATTAAAGTTCATTTTTGTATTAAAAAATGTGAGTTTTATTTCACTCTAAAAACCGAAATTTCTTTCTTGCCAACCCAATATAATGTTTCAATTTTAAAATATTTTTTAAGCATAGAGGTTTTAAAACCCCCAATTTGTTTTGATTATTTATGATATATATATTTATGTCACAGAATTCTTTTTATTGCGCATCTGTGTAATCATTTCTTTGATTTGCTCAATTCTCAATGATTCCATTGTAAATCCACATGGTTTTTTGATTGTTTTTTTTTAGTCACTGTGTATTTAAGTAGGGTTTTTAGCTTGCATGCAAATGCTATTTTGACGATACCGTTTTAAAGTCATTTTGTCTCGTAGGTAGACTATAGTAGTTAATGGATTATCTCGTAAATAGAAGTTTATTTCTCTACAGAGTTCATCATGGCTTCTACTATATAGTTTTTTTTCAATACAAGTTATTTGTGAGACACGGATCTTAAATCTCATTTTTTTCTTACACATGAATTGTGTCAATTTTGTCATAAATCCAGAATGCTTTATCTATCGTTTTTTTGATGGTATTGCAATGGGTTTCAATGCAATTTTTAAAGTCTTGGTTTTTTCTTTCCAATATAATTATATAAATAGCACATTACCTTAATACATTAAGGGAGTGCCAAGTTTGTCTTCGATGCATGTGATGTTGACAGCATTTGTTAATGACTTTTCCATATTTGCTGCTATATTGCCCTGCTGGTGTACATCTTAGTATGTTAAAAATTTTAATAATTTTTTGAACACCACCGTATTAAACGAATAACACTAAACATGCAGCTTGTGGCTTCAGAGGCGAATTTTATTGAGTTCAAAAATATTATAGTTTAAATGATTTTGTCCACAATGGTCGATGCAGAAATGCTTTGCTTTACATTTTTGGGCACCCTAGACCTATATTTACTAAAATGTCAAGCAGAATTTCTATCAAGTCATTATCAGGGGTCTGTCTAGGTTTTTTTAAGAGGTACCTATTTTGTGAAAATTTAGACATAATTTGTGAAAATTAAAAATTGTATAAAAAAATCAACACAAAAATATGGTAAAGTAAGAAAATATTTTCAGAAATTGTCACTACAAATAAAAATAATTTTTGACTGGTAAATTCCTATATATTTTTCCCCAAATTTATTCAAAAACAATTTTGCTATTGTAAAATTTTAGGCTAAAAATTATACCCAAATTTTAAAATCTATAAAAATCATTGCTGATTGTTAAATTTCAACTTGAATTTAATAAAAACATGCATTTAATAGTATAAATAATTTTAATTATGAGAACATTTTCAACTGCTTCATACAGAAAAAAGTTTCACAGAGAAAAAAATGGTTCATAAAAAAAATAAAGGTCTGTTCAAATAAATTTACAATAGTGTTTAGGATAATGTTCAAATTTCAACTTCCTGTGAAGTTTATAGAGAAAGAGCCTCATCATTTAATTTTTTTAAAAAAAACTCAGCTAAAAAGAAGCTCGCTTTGATTTAGCGTAAGTGACCGATTAGGCCTACCACATTGCACTCCTCTTTTCCATAGATTGCAACAAGAACGAGGTTTGCATGAGAGCTTGCTTTTTTATTTGTGAAGCTACCGTTTTTCCTAAAATTGAATTTGTGAAGGTACCGCGAAACGGCAGTAAATTTACCCTGAACAGACCCCTGATTATGATTATTAAGAAATTAATATTTTTTGAGCAGCCTTTCCTTTTTTTGTTCATTTGTCACTATTAAGGTTTGGAAGATTGCAATGTCCTCTTTTATTCCTGTTACTACCTATAATTGTCAATTAATAGCTTGATTACTAGTTAAGAAAATTACATCACTGATATACTTCCATAACTGTTGTAAACTTTGTGAAAATATTGTTGCCTTTAAGTGGAGCATTGAAGCTTCAATGACTTTAGAAAGGAATATTTTTTTTCCACATAGCAGTCCCTTTTTAGCAAAGTCTCATTTAATCCTGGAAACCTGCTTTTCAAGCAGAAGAGTGTTTTATATTGTAGTGACAAGAGTGCTTCATGTTATTAATATTGTAGTGATTAAATTTGTTTCCTATAATTTAATTAATTTGTTAAAATTCTATTTTAGTGAGAAGAGCTGCTTTGGTTGGCACTGCAAGTAAGTTTATACATTTTAAAATTTATCTGCATTTACTTATTTTATGTTTTGGTTTAATTATTTTGTTATTTGTTTGAAAACTATCTATGATAAAAATGACAATTTCAGTATGGGGAAATTTTAGTTATTAAGATAGTGCCGAAGAAAGTTCATGCCATTTACCATTACTAGATGATCTGAACTCCATAAGTCCAAGTGATAATAAGATAATTGTTACTAAGCAATTAATATTTTTAATGCAGCCTTTTCTTTTTTTTTATTTGCAACTATTTATTAAAATTTCATACCTCAAAATACTTTATTATAGCATGTAAAAAAGTTATTTCCCATGTGTATAATTCTTTATGAACTCATACATTAATTTTTTTCTCTTTTTAGATCAGTTCAATACCTATGTTACCCTAAAACTGCAAAATGTGAAGTCCACAACAGTAGCAGTAAAGGGCAACAATCCCACTTGGGAAACAGACTTCCTGTTGTAAGAATTTTTTTATATGCTTTTATTAAAATTTATGGTATATATATTTTAACATACATATAAAACATATTACAGTTTATATCAAAGTAAAAATGAACTGAAGGGTAGCATTCCTTTAGAATTAAATGCTCATTTATAATTGAGTTAAATTAAAAGAAAATAAGGCATTTATCTAGAATTGATCGGTATTTTACTCTACATTTTCGATCTGCTTAATTCATCGTTAATATTTTAGACACGGATGGTTCAAAGGTTGTACCCTAATTCTTTTTTTTATGAAAGTGTTTAATCAGGGGTCTGTCTAGGTTTTTCTGAGAGGTACCTATTTTGTGAAATTTAGACATAATTTCCGAAAATTAGAAATTATTAAAAAAATCAGCACAAAGATATGGTAAAAATATGGATTTATCGTTTCCTACGGGATACAAAATGAAATTTTAAGATAAAGTATTTGGGGAAACTACCGTTTTTCCTAGAGTTGAATTTGTGGAGGCACCGCTAAACGGTAGTCAATTAGGCCTGGCAGACCAACACCTCCTGAAAGAAGAAAGGCCTCAGCACGGATCAATTTAGTAGTCTGATGTGACGATGTGTGTGTGATTATATTTTTTTAACTTAAAAAAATTGAAAGTTATGTTACTTTCTGTGTTTCTTGAAAGTACACTAGCATATTGGCTTATAAAAATTGGGGATTGGGGGGAGGGGGGAAATGTGTGAATAGTAGTTATTGACAATGTCAACCTTCATCTATGAAAAGGTACCCCGACACAGAATTGAGTTTACTTGTCTTATATACTTGTGAATTGGAATTGTTTTTTTGTAGTGGTAGATACACTACAGTACTTCCCCACCAGAATTATATTTGTGATAGAATTCGATGAACAGATACCACTAGCTGATTCATTACTGATTAGTGCGAAGCCGGGAGTGATCACCATACTTTTAAATGATGATCGTGAGAGCTGTTTTAAGTTCACGGCCATGGTCGCTCCTGTGTTGTTATTAGCAGACGAGTGTATACAGACTGACCTTGTGTGTGATTGGGACTGAGAAGCAGCAACGTGCAGTGAATATTGTGACAGTCACAAGTAGCAAGTCAACTGTTCAATGGGAACCATCCATCAAAGTTTCTGTCAAGTTAGGCTTGTTTACATCACGTCCGGAAGTCACCAATGTTGGGATAGCAGTTATCGACAATGTCAACCTTCATCTATGAAAAGGTACCCTGACATAGAGTCATGTTGGTTGGTCGGGATGCCTGAGACCGAAGTGGCCCTTACCCCTTCATCATGAATTGAAGGATCATAGTGGTAGTTCCTTACAGTCCCTGTAGCCTAAAATAAAAGTCGAGAAATAAGTATGAGCACATTGCTCGAGTAATATTAAATAATGATGCATTTTTTACATATACATATAAATAAGTAATGGAGAAAAAGAATGATAAAAGTATAATTCCTGTAAGAAGTTTGTCAAACTCTATTGTACATCTCTCAAGTACAATACACTTTCTCATATCACATTCTCAACAATCACATACTCTTCACTTTTATCATAAAGCATAGTCAATTTTCATGAAATCTAGTACAATACAATTCAATTTGATTTGTGTCAACACATTTTGCATACAATTACGCATCTATATTAGTGTTATTCTATACGAATATTGTCCGTTTTGGTATATAATTTTATATATAAATAAGTGCCATAAGAAAATATTGCTATAATATAAAATTCACTATTTACGCTCCATTGAGTTTGACTCAAATGGTCAGTGTTGCATCACTTGTAAAAAAAGTGTGCAACTGGCCTCAGAGAAGCATCTTCGAATAGGTTTTCGTACTCGAAAATTGAGTTAAAGTTTGCAGCTTTACAATCTAACTCTTCTTAAAAAAAATTCAGATTCATTTTGTTAAAGTGGTGATCGAAACTGTCAATTTCTAAGCCCGTGTGTATATCAGCATTTTTTTGATACCATTGAGCGTCAGTTATCTTTCTTAAGATCTTATTCTGCGTTCTCATGAGTTTCCTAAACTCACTTTGAGATACATTACACTATGCTGGTGAGGCATAGGTCATGATTGGTCTTATCGTCGAAATAAATAACAATATCTTCAATTTCAAGCTTAATTTTTCACTGTACATCTTGGATAGCAGTTTCAAAGTTGCAGCATTTGCTTTATCTTTAACATTTTTAACATGATCCAACCAAGTCAGTCTGTTGTTGATGACTAGACCTGAGTATGTGGCTTTAGTTACTCTTGGTATCACCTGATTAATGAGTACTAGTTCGTCATGCTCTCTAATTGGTTATAGACCCGGCATAGAATCTAGTTAACATGTCTTATATACTAGTAAATTGGGATTGTATTTTTGTAGTGGTAGATACAATACAGCACCCTACAAATTTTTAATTTTTGTAGACCATACACTGGTGTCTAAAAGTTAAGCATCGTTTTACATAGTTCCACATAATTTTTCACATTTCAGTATAATTTAGCACCTTTCCACACCAGTGTAGTTTTAATGTGCCTCTCACATGAGTCTTAAAGATTTTAGAAAACTTTCATCCAGTATTGGATCGATAATACATGAAACATTAAATAGACATTATCATTTTCAAGATGGTAATATTTATTCAATGTTTCATTTATATCTATATTTTGTACTTTATATCTTAAACAAAATATTTTGATATTCTTCATATTTTGAGTAATTAAAAGCATTTAATCTTTCAGTGAAACCAACAGGATGGACATTGGTCTCATTATTGAAGTCTGGAACAAGGGGATGGTATGGGACAAACTTTTAGGCTTGCAATGGTTGCCTCTCACTCGAGTCAAATACTCAAATGAGGTATCAGTTTTCTTTTTATCATTATATTCTGTTGATAATTGTATGTAAGAATTCTATTATTCTCTTCACATTATATTATTTGTCTCAATTTTTTTTATATTGTGTATTAATTTTTCTAAATGTTGTCATTAATTTTACTCAATATTTTTATGTATAAAAAAATTTTTTTGGGGGAGGGGTTATCTTTATGTCACCGTGTGTTTCACTCTCCTGATATTTTCTAATGCTCTTATCTACTTTTTTGTTGTCTTATTTAGTTTATGACGACATTTGTTTTTATTAGCTTCAGTTTGTAGCAGTAATGTTAAAGTTGTAATGATCTGTCGACTGACCATGGGTGCAAGTCTTCCGTCCCCAGGACAGATTTCCGTCTTTCAAAAATGTCCGTTGTCGGAAGTAAGACGGAAATAAGACTGACTCGAAGACGGAGACATTTTTTTTCTTTCTGTCCTTAAAAATATTTTTCGGTCTACGTTATTGGTCTACTTTCCTATGTCCTGTTGTTATTTTATCAAAAGACAGATGAATAAATATTTTTTGTACAGTATTTAAACTTGATGTGTTATGGTAAAGCTTTCTTAGATAGTTTGCATAGGTCGAGGGGGTATTGTGTATGTTAGGTATTTCAGTCAAAAAAATTTCAGTTTTGGCCTTTTTTCCAACTTGCACCCATGCGACTGACCAATCACCAATTGTGCCAGTCAAACAACCCTCACACTCTGCTACTCCCACCACCATTCTGACTTGCCACATACTTGCTGCATACTCCAAAGGCATGAAAATTGAATTAAACTAGAATAACACTCGCCTGAGTGCAAGGAGTGCATGGTCCACTAGAGTGACAGCTTTACACAATGAAGACTAAAATGCTCGCACTGATTCAAAACATGACTTGAATGGTAGACTCCACGTAATGTATAACTATTCATGACAACATCAAAAACGTAACTTATACAAATAAATGGAATGATAAATGACAACATGGTGATTAAGACATACATCATCTACATGGTGATAGTTTTAGCACTGAATGGCTAGTCATGCTGGCTAGAATGGCTAGTGACTGCTATGCATTGGAATACAGATGAGATCTCTAAAATTTGCATGCTATTGATGCCATCAACTAGATGTCCTTAATTAATTATCGAAATCACTAAAAAATATGAATATATGATAATCTACAATTATGATGTAAGAAGACATGATCTGAAGCAGGGACCAACTACTCCATCTCCTAATTACGAACTGCAGGTTCACTTAAACTAAGCCCAAATGTCAGAATTTAGCAAGTGATGTTTATTGACTCATGCAATTGGTCAGTCAATATAACATTCCGAAATTTCTTACTGTGCAACCTATTTCAACGATTCTGCTATAAAATGTTATTTTCCATTCATCCATTATAATTACACTAGGTTTTTTATTACTTATTTCTGTGATTCTAATGTCTCAGTTTTTGCTTTCTTAATGTGTTCTAATAGTCATTGCAGTAATATATCATATTTTAGTTTTAAATTCAATTAATGTTTGTAGGATGTTTTAAGTTCTCTTTGAAAGTATTGACAAAAAAAGAATTTTGGAACTTTCCTAGTTTTTGCCATTTTTTTATTACTCTTGCTTAAAATGAGAGATATTTACATTTTGGCAGCAAAGAAAAAAATGAAATTAAAAACTTGCGTAACTGCAGTAGAAATAATTGCCAAATATGGCTACATTACTTTAGGAAAATACAAAATGATCAATATGTTACTGAAAAGACAAATCATGACGACCCTTTCTTTTTCTGTATTCAAATCCTTTGAACCTTTTTATATTTTAACCAAGTAATTAAGTCATATTATCGTGAGAAATATTTTGTTTTTTTACTCTGATTTTAAAACAGTATTTAATCAGTTAAATAATTCAGCTTATTCAAAATGAGTAATTAATTGTTTTTCACAACTCTTTGAAACTTATTTTTATGTACAGTTATGCGCAAATGATAATAGCTTCTCAAAATAAATTCGATAGAACCAATTCAAAATTATGCCTTTTATTTGGTCACTAGATCATGAAGTCCACAGCAATTGATTATTTGCTACTATTCGTTAGTGATATGAGTATTGAATATGCCATTGAGGAATCTTCTCTAAAACTGTACCAGAAACTAATATGATTGCTCCTTAGAGTTCAGTAGGCTTGCTCTGATTTTAATCCCTTTGAGAGTTTCTTATAAGAAATGTTACTCCTTACCATTCAGTGGCCTTGCTCTAACTTGAATCCCTTTGAGAGTTTCTTATAAGAAATGTTACTCTTTACAGTAGTGGTCTTGCTCTAACTTTAATCCCTTTGAGAGTTTCTTACAAGACATTTCGAGGTTTGACTTTTCTGCTCATGTTATGCTTTTGATATTCCCTAACAACCCATTCAAAATCAGAAAATTCTTAGATCACGTGACCTTTTACAGCCTCCGTTAAAAACGCAAGACTGTTTAGAAGTATTGTTTAGGGCAGGAATGAAGTCAATACACACAAGTTCCCCTATTGAGAATTGGATGCATGTTAATACTTATGGCTCAGAACTGGATGTAAATAATTATGTAGGCAGGGACCGCGGAATCATAGACCGCGGAGAGAACAGTAATATTTTATAAATAAAGAGGCACAACCCCTTTTAAGATTACTGTTTTTCACTCAATATTTGTGTAATTAAATTTATAATTAAAAGAAAGTAGATAATTCTTTTGTGCCTGAATTCTGAAAAAGAATTTCTATTTCAATCGAACTTTAACATTCTTGGTGAAAACTGCTGCCAAATAATCCCTATCCCTTTGCAAAGGAAATATATGTCCCTATTGCTGACCGATCTGAAAATTCTTGGTTTCAAATGTTACAAAGAGCAGAATAAAAAAAAAAAACATTGAAGCATGTTTAAAAAAGATACCTAAAAAATAAGCAATAAATAATTTACGGGTAAACAATTTCTTCTACTAATTTAATTTTAATTTTAAGAGAATTCGAATCATGAAGTTAAAATTGCAAGTTCGAATTCTTGATTGTCATTTGTGTGAGGTTCATAGTTTGATTCCCTTTAACTCTATATATATTATATTTATATATGTATGTGTATATGTATATATATAAATATATATGTATGTGTATATGTATATATATATATGTATGTGTATATGTATATATATGTATGTATATATGTATGTGTATATATATATATATATATATATCCCACTTTTGAGATACTTTCGCCGTCACTGTATGTAGGAACTGATATTCATTGTTGGGCCTGCTGTCTGTCTTTGATCAGTTTGTTGTCTCTGACTCTCGGGCAGTAATCTTGTCTAATGCTGTCAAGCTCCTGTTTTTTTTCTTTTGTCCAGAGAATGTCTCGGACTCCTGTCCCCTGTTCTGTTTCTTTTCCAGAGATTTTACTTTGGATATTCTGATAATGAGATTGCAGATTAAACATTAAAACGCATGCATAATATATATATTTTGAATGATGACTAAATAGAATGAAATGTTTCAGGTGGGTGAAGGTCAGTGGTTATCACTTGACCAAGAGTTGATGATGGAGGAGGGGGAGGTGGTCGGAACCAAAGTGCCTACTGGACACAGTCTTCTCCTCGAGACTCACTTTGAACTTCCATGTGGTATGTTTTAACTGATATAGTTTTATATAATTAGTGCTTTTTTCCATGTATGCTTATCTTTTCCATGTATGCTATTCTTAACATTTTAATGTCTGTTCAGCAAGCAGTTGTAATTATTCTTTTTGATATTTTCTGTTCTACTTAACTATGGTTATGTATTCCTTAAAAATATTTTTTAATTATATTCTTTTGTACATTTTCTGTTCTACTTAACTATGATAGTCTGTTCCTTAAAAGTCCCACAGTGGACTGATCGTTAAGACACGGTTCCCAGCAGATCACTAAAGTCAGGCATCACTGGCTGTGGTCAGTGTGCGGGTGGGTGACCACTTGGATCGTTTTGCGTAGGTCCTCGTTAAACTTTCTACCGTAACGTGCTTGACGTCGCATGCCGGTCGCCGAGCTTTCAAAGCGCGGGTGCCACCCCCATCTACAGAGGATCAAAATTGTGATGGCGTGTCTTCAGATCATCCTCAGGGATATTTCCCTGACCATTGCCGATAGCCCATTGTGCAGCTCTAGTGTGACGTAAATGAACGTCTACTACTATTCCTTAAAAATACTTATTCTTCGTTTTTGACTTATGATAATTAATATCAGATTTCTTTTGATGAAATGTTTAAAAATTTTAACTAATATTGTGTAAAAAGAATTTAAGGTGGTAAATTTTAAGTGAATTCTAAAATAAAAAGTTTTTTTTGCCTTTTCTGTCTTGATAGATCCTCTCCAAGACAAAGCAAAATCGATTTTTTTTTCATTATTTTTATGTAGTTTATATCATTTAATAACAAATTTTTTCCCTAATATTAAATGAAGAAAAAGCATTTAAGAAATTTTTGTTAGATAAAAATTAAGGTTAATTTATCTAGAACTGTCTTTTATTTCTATGTCTTAAATTATGACTTAAATGTTAATTGAATTAAAAAAATAGGACTGAAAAATCAATCTGTGAACTAAGGAATTCATATTTAGTTATAAATTGAAGTGTTTGTACAATGCTAAAGAATAAACATATTATAAGGAATATACATGAGCTTATAAATGCACTTTCCAGAAAAATGAGAGCTGCAGTATAAAATGAATTTTCAAACAAAATATTTTCATCTCTTGTGCAGTAAAATAACTATAAGACAGTTTGGGACATTACTTCAAATTGTGAACAAAAACATTACAAAACTTCTGCTTCACAAAAATAATTTGACTTTGCAACTAAATCATGATGTAAAAGAATTTTAGAATTTCGTCATCCTTGTAGTCTAAGTTTTCCGACTAATTGAAATGTAAATAATTGAATAGATTATAGTCTCAAATTTGGACTGTCAGAGAAATTTTAAAATTACAAATTTTAATTTTATTACCAAAATTAAGATCACATTATAGAGTTTTTTTTTTTTTTACCTAGAAAAAGTTTTCAATCATTTTATTTACATGGAATTAAGCAATACTGAGCTTTACTATCAATAACTGAGTATTTTTTTATTATTTTTTAATTTTTGTTTGAAATGAAGCAATTTGAAATTCTTTCTAAAAGTTTTTGGTGTGAATGTTTGAATTTAAACATTCTTAATATTAAATAAATGAGAAACATTAGTTATCTCCATTGAGATTTCCAGCAATTATTCCAAATAAGAAACATTTTGATTAATTAATTCGAGATATTTTAAATGAACTAAATAGTATCAAGGAAAAGATTAATTAACTTTACAGTACATTGATGATAAGCATTGATATTCACTAATAAAAAGCTCACCTTTTTTCAAATGAACCAGATTAAAATGAGACAGTGAGTTTCAGTAAAAATCCAATTCAACTAACACATTATCATAATTTATGTAATAAACATGACGTTCTCATCAGTAAAATGAAGCTGAGTAAGAAGGTGACATAAATTCTAATTCATTTAAATAAAATGTAAATTGGCCCTAAATTTATTTACCTTTCATAAGTTATTCTTTAGCTTATTGGTGTTCTAATAATATTGCATACCATTTTTTTTAAATTGTAGATTTCTTTAAATATTTCGAATTGTATGTTTTATTTCATACAGCAAAAAGCAACACATAAAAACACTAATAAAATAGTTAAGAGTCTGACAGAAGTAATATAACAATTACTTTTACCAGATATTCACACACACACACATTCGTAAGGATACATTTTCTTCTGCTTTATAATATTTCTATACAAAGATAAGCCTTTTTTTCTTATTTGTTCAAAAAATTTTCTAAGTAATTGTTTGTTAGTTAGACTCTATTATGGTTCCAGTGATTCCACTAGACTTTGGAAACTTCAGGTCCTTGAAACCCAGGACTAGTCCTAATCTTTTTTTGCAAAAAGCCGATCCCTTCTTAAAATAATAAAAAATCTCTACATAAAAGATATACATAAAAGGTTAATATTTTATTATTAGGGAAAAATGCAATTAGTAATTTATTCTGTAACAGTTTGACAAAGAATTAGGGCTAAAAGTTAGTCAATCAGTTATCTTTAAAAGATCAAAAACAGTAAATTTTTTTCGGCCAGACTTAGTCCGTTTGTTACAGTGTAATAGTTAAAATAACACTTCGCTTAGAGTAGGACAAAATAGGTATTACTTAAATCTGAATAGTTTTAAGTTATAGTTTTTAATAATTTTTCCATTTAACTTCGCTCAGTCAGGATTCAGTTTAGAAGAAAATTGCTTATTAAAATCAGAAACAAGTTGCATGTAACTTGGAAGGCTTAGTATTGTTTTGAATGAAATTTAAAAGCGATATTGATAATTTTTTAAAAATGCGTCAGGATCGATGCTTACGTGAATATCATTTTTTTTCTTATTTTGTTAAAAGAGTTTTGAAAAAGTTAGTTTTTAAATAATTCATTTGTCAAATAATTTGTGTTTTTTTTTCTAAGCATTCATACCAACATTGAAGTAACTATTGCTATTAGATGTTTTGTATTTTATAAAATACGAAACAATTTGCTTACACTTAATTATAATTACAATGTTCTTACTTTGTATTGTAATTTTGTTTTAAAGTAACAATTGACATTACATAGTGTTTTAATTATTACTAGAGAATTATAAAATTGCATTTTCATAGATAAACCTATGCATTATGTTATACGAGAAATCATGTAAGCTTTTGGAAAGGTCTGGTATTTCGAAAAAAAAGTATTGCAATGTCATTTATAAGATGTATAATGTATTCTCATGATTTTATAATGATAAATTCATTTTTATAAGATTTTATCAGTTGCAACATTTTGCTATTTTTAAGGTAACTTAACTAAATAATTTTGGAAGTAAACATTTTTGATTGAATGTCTCTTATATTTATTTCATAATATCAGGGGTGATTCTATTCTGGACTTTTCGTATCATCCTACCAAATCTAATAATTAGGAGCAAGACATGTTTTTTTTCCAAGAAATTTAGCAAAATTCTGTAAGACCTTATTGGTTTGTAGACTTTTGCAAATAAAACTCATAATTCACCACAAAATTTTGCAGTCTAAAATTCAAGTGTTAAAACTTTTACTAAATCCTGTTTACGAGATGGTTATGCATATGTGAGTCTTCCGACAATGCGCCATCAAAAATGTGGCGGAAATCTGCCAATATTAAAAATGGCAAAATCTGCTCAACCGAAAGAATCAGTGGGCGGAAATCCGCCAATTTGATACTAACATTAGGATCTGCGCCAAAATATGCTAGTATCGTGATTCATATTCCCACGATTTTAATATAAAACATGGATTTTCGTATTTACCTGATTTAAAAGTTATGTGTCAGGATTCTTATTCATTCTATTTAAAAATTATATATTGTGATTCGTGTTCACACAATATTGTGATTTGTAGCTATGTGTTTTTAAAATCGAAATTGCATTCCGTGTTTATAATATCCATCATCGATATTACTATTCATATGTGATTTAGAGGCTACACATTGCTATTCATATTATGCAATCTAAAAATCATGCAATGCAATTCGTATTCACACAATATAAAAGTTTTGTATTCACATTATACGATTTGTATTTTCGTATTTTTCCAATCCAATATTGTAATTCATATTCATGTGATTTTAAAATTCAATGTCTTGATTCATATTCACATTTTTTAAAAGCAATATTGTGATTCTTCTAAGAACTTACTTTTCTTAAATTAGTTACTGTGCATGTATTCTTCTTTGGTTGGTAATTTAGTTGCAAATCTTAGTTAAAAAAAATTATGTTAAACCCTGAAACGTGTGAGGGTATATAAATTGATATATTTGTATCGAGTTTTCGTGCATAAAAGTTTTTAGGGTTTTTCACTATGCCACGATTACCCTTGTGATATGTTAAATAACCTGAATAGTATACAAAAGGATAGTTACTAAGTGGGCATTAAAATTTTTTTATTTAGCAAAATTGGCAGTGATCCAAAAGAGATTTGCAACTTATGTTTGAGATTAACAATAAACGATATGACTCTATAGAGAAATAAAATGGAATAATAGAATTCTAGTATGGTTAATTCTGTATGGTTAATTCTGTGTTCTAGTATTAGTATTTTTCGATAAGTTTTAGTTATTCTTTATTTATAATGATAAAGTAAGTTGCAACAGATTATGAATGAAAATAAAAATTTTAATTGTAGCAACTGTTTCATCTGTTAAATTTTAAGTGAACTTATTTTATTAGGTCAGTGGGGGAGGAATAAGATTTAAATTTTTTTTCTTTATGTTGATTGAGTTAGTGACAGAGCATTCTGGTGCCATGGTTAAAATTTACCCTCACATGTTGTGTTCTTTGTATTAGTACATCTCTTGTATCCTTAAAAAAAAAAANAAAAAAAAAAAAAAAAAAAAAAAAAAAAAAACGAGAGGGAGATAACTATTTAAAAGTTGTATTCTTTAAGTTGGTATTTGTTTTCTTTAATTCACACTTTTAAAAATCACACATTACACTTTGTATTTGCGTAATATAAAAATGCATCGGAATTTGTATTTGCAAGATTTTAAAATTGAACATGGAGATTTGTTTTCACGCTGTTTTAAAATCAAACATTGTCATATGTATTTGCTTAGTTTAAAAGGTACTTCTTATTCTCGCGATTTTATATATCAAGCACTGGGATTTGTATTCATGTGATATAAAATCCACTGTTATAGTTTGTGTTCATGTGTTTCAAAAATTATACATGTGGATTCGTATTCACATGATTTTAAAATCAAACATCGAGATACATATTCACAAAATTTTAAAATGTAACTTTTGAGATTCCTATTCTCACGGTTTAAAAATCAAACATTATTGTTTGTATTTGAATAATTAAAAAATAACTTGATTCGTTTTAGCATGATTTATGAATGAAATAACTTGATTTGTATTCGCACATTTTAAAAATCAGTGTGATTTTAAAATCAAACACCGTAGTTTCTTATTCAATCAATTTATTTCTAAGAGTTTTCAATAATAATAGAAAAAATTCATAAATAATAGAAAAAATTCCATAGAAAAATTCCATAGAAAAAATTCTAAATTTTTACTAAAAGAAAGTTAGAAACATCAATTATTTTGCCTTTTCTGCTGAGACATTTTCTGTTTTTGCTGTATTATCCCTGTATCGTCCCTGTATCTATTCTAGGTATAGTGGTAGTAGGTTTTTATGATCTGCAGAAATACAACCTGTAGTATCAAAATGTTTATAAATCAAAAGTTTTCTAGGAAACATATGTTTTATATTTTTTATTTTAAATGTTTATACAAATTAAAAATTTAGAATATCATACTATATTGTAAGTTAAAGAAAAGACCTTTGTTTATAAGAAAAAATTGATTTATATTAAAAGAGATGTTAATTCAATGTGCTAAATGTCTAACTTTAAGTGTGCAATTATTAAAATGAACTATATATTGTTGATTGTGTATGTTTACTCCGTCAAATTTGATGACATGAGGAATGCACTTTACTTTCTGTAAATATTTTTCCGTAATACGTAAACTTATTTGTACTAAAGTAAATTATATTTAGTGAAGTATGAACAGTATAATTGTACCGTGTAGTGTATCACATTTAATATTAATTGTATAAATTTATTATCATTAATTTTAAAAGACTTTTTCTTAGTTTTAAGCTAAATTACAAAAACGCATAAAAATTGTTTTATAACTCATGTAAGCTAAGTAATCTTATATTTTTTTCCTTCTTTTTTTAAAATTTAAGGTTGGATGAGCATTAAATCATGTATCATATTCCAGTATAGTATTATCAATATATCGTTGCATGTATTAAATTGCTGTATTTCCATATGAAATTGTACTTTTTCTCTATAGTTGAATTTTTTTTAACAATTAGCCAGCCAATTTTCACTCCTTTTCTCACATTTTTTAAAGAAAAAATATTCTATTAATTTTTTACTTCATTTAGGAGATACTTTGGAAATATTGTGTAACAAATTATCCATTTTAAGATTTTATAAATGCAATTATTTAATTTTTTTCCCCTTTTAAATCTAGATGACTTAGAGGGGGAGGAGCTCATGAAAAAGCTGGACCTCTTGAACCAAATACTGGGTGAAGAGGTATGCAGTTGTTTTGTTCTTTTTACTTTTGAATATTTATTTATCTTTGGGCTGTTTTAGGCCAATGATTTCCATAAGGATTTTAGTCTAATGTTTTTTCTTTTAATATGTATGTTAATTTATGTACACCCAACAATAGAAATCGACGCTCAATGGCTGAGTGGTAGTGCTTTGCGCTCCTGTGCAACAGGTCTTGGGTTCGATCCGCGGGCCGTGCAAGGTTGACTCAGCCTTTCATCCCTTCAGTGGGTCGATAAATGAGTACCAAGCATGCTTGGGGACTAAACACTAGGGGTTTTGCGTTCGGCTGACTACCTAACCGGAACATCTGCTCCTGCACCCCCAGAGCCCAGGTGAAACAGAACTCAAGAAAACTGAGATGGGCACAGTAGGCCTTGGCCCTCTATGGGCTGCCGTGCCGCTGTGTTTAGAGTAACAATAGAAATCTCTGTTCCGTATCTCCAATAATAGAAACTTCTGTATAGTGTTTTTTAGGAAAAGGTAAAAAAAAACAAGTCAATTTGGATCAATTTTTTTAAATTTTTCATTAATTTTTTCCCCCTTGTGTTTAACTTTATTAAGCCTCATAAAATACAAATTTTAGAAGGTTCTCAAAATCTATTTGGGTAATGGCCTTCTCAGTTCTCGTTAAATGTGAATCATTTGTCTTCGAACCATTTTTTCATATTTAAAAATTTGTGACATCAGAAACTAAATCTAGTGAATAAGGTTAGCTGTATTAATTTAATTACTAACTGTGCAAATTATGTAATTAAATGTGTGCACCATTGCCGTTACATTAGTGTAAAAAAAAAGATTTTGTCCATTTCTGAGGAAGTCAATTCCATAAATGTCCCAAAAGATTTTTTATCATTAGTGGATATACAGCTGTCTCAATTCTAAACATTCATGAGCACAGGAGCAGGTGTGCTATGAACTTTATCACATTCCACTTTGATCTTTTTAAATGTTACTTTTTTAAAACAATCATGTTTAATAATTGCAAGGATTTCATTATTTCTCTTATTAAATAAAAGAAACTAAATTTTTTTCCCCCTCAACCAACTATGACAATGAACACAAGTGACTCATAAAGTTACTTTAACAACAATCTATTGAGAAATGACAGTCTAAGAGCTTTAAAAGCAAACTTTTTTCAATACAGCAAACTTCTTGTTTTTGTTCTTTTGGGCTTATTTAACGATCCCTGTATGTACATATATCTATAAAAACAGCAAATCAGAAATCATTTATAAGCAAACACAGCAGACTCCCCTTTACTTAATATTAAGTTATTTTGTATATTTATATTATTTATCTAGTTTTAGAATGTTCTTTCTTTAACATCATTGATAGAAAGTATAGTAAAATTTCAAGGTTGTATTTTGTTTAATGTAATGCCAATAATGAGATTTAACTTTTTCTTAGGCTTCTTGAATCAACACTAGTAGCAAACTAAGTGAAAGGGGAACTAAGTCTAGTAGATAAAACTCTAGTAGCAAGTGATAAACATGATATTTTGTTAGATTTAACTTTACTGCATGTAGTAAACTTGAATTTTTTATTTGCAAGTTCCAAAAAATGAATCCTTACCATTATCAATAGCCCCCCAGTTTAATTTATTGCGACATCAAACAATCAAACCACTTCAGTGTAGTTGCAAATTTTGCTAACAAGACAGATAAAATAAAAATATTTGCTGGTAAATTCTGTAGACTGTATTCTGGTAGATGTTACACATTTCTTTCTGGCTTGTTTAATCTGTTGTTATTTTGTGAAATCTATTGCTAAGTTTATTGGATAAAAATTACAAGAGGAAGTGCTAGAAATCTTTATATGGTGTTAAGATTTTTTCCCCTTTCCGCTTTAAAAGTGTTTTCATCTATTTGAAAGAACAACTTGAATCGATTTAAACATACTATGTTAAAATAATTACAATAAATTTGTACTGTATTAATTTTGATTTAGATTTTTTTTTTTTAAATATTGCTTATTATTTGCAGTTTTTTGCTTTCATAGACCACAATAATTTCTAAATTAAAAAAACTGCTATAATGAATAGTTTTAACAAGTAGACTATTCATTATAACCAGCATTATATACATTATAAGTAATATATTAAGCTGTATGTACATTATAACCAATCTGTACTTCATTTCTTTTTCTTGGGAAGTGTTAAGTTTTGAATTTTTTTCTTCTTTCCTTTAGCCTTGATATTAACCATTTTTCAAAATTTCTTTGTCTTAGTATGTTAGTATTTATAAGATAAAATTTGGTCTGGATTTAAAAAATTTCTTTAAATACCTGGAAAAGTCGAAATTTTTTTCTGAAATTAACTGGGAACCTTGATTACATTTTATCTGTGCTATAAACTTTGAAAGAAAGTCATCTTTTCATGGTATTTACACATGAAGGAGTCTTGAATGTTTGAAAGGTTTATTATTTATTTGCATGGAAATATAACTTAAAATGGGCAATTTGAACAAAATTTTGAAAAAACAAAATTTCTAAGAGTACATTTTCTTTAGAGCAAGGGTAGCCAAATTTTTTGGATAGTGTGCCACATTATAAAAAGAAAAATAATAATAATTTTGTCTATTACTTCCAAATTTTTTTTAAAAAAAGTCAATAGATTAATATAAACAGTATATTTATAGTAAAACGGCAGATGAAAATTTTTGATTCATATGCGATTTATACACTAACAACACATTTTTTTTCTACATCAATCAGAGTAGTGTAGTTATAAAAAAATGAATGAAATTAAAGTACAAACTTGTTTCAATTGTTAATAAACATTTTTAAAGATTGTCCCATAATGAATTAAATCAAATCCAGTGATATGAATTCAAAAGCTTATAAGTAGAACTGATAACATGATAGGTATTATTTTATGAGTTCAAAGGCGTATATTGTGAATTTTAACAGAATTTCAGAAGCGAAAATATTTAAAAATTTTTTTGCACATCTATGCCCACCATCGTTGACTCTGTGCCATTCCACTGTGTCACACACCTGTTACATATTGGCAATCCATGCTTTATAAACTGAAATATTAAATGTTTTTTTTCTTCATTTTTTAAAATATGTTTAATAAAATAGGTTTTAAATATGAAACTTCATTAACTTGTTTCCAAAAATTGCTGTGTTTGATATCCCATTTTTGGAGATATATAGACAAATGACAGTTATAACTGTTCTGCACATTTTAATGACGGAAAAAGCAGGATGTCTTAAGTAAAAAGCGTACTAATGCATTTATTTGATAAATATTCACTATTATATCGAAAAAAAGATTTAGCATTCCATAATTTGCTCTGAGAAGAGAAAAGAATGTTGTCATTAGCAAATTATGGTTACAGTTGTCAAAAGTTTTTATAGAGAAACTATATCAAAATTTGATAATTTTCTCTTGCAAGCATACAACTGATGCTTAATTTCACAGTTTGAAAAAAATTTTCTTCAGATCAAAATTGTCAAATTAAATGTGTGCAATTTAAAAGTTATTTATAAATCCTCAAATGAGTCCTGTAAAAATTAAGTTTATTATTTATATTAAAACTCACTTTGTATTCAAACAAAGAAAGAGTGTGACCTCTAAGTTTTTCTCCCTTGTTCCTGAGATGTGTTCAGGAATATTTTTACAAAGAACAACACCATTTTATGTAATTGAAATCAAACAGTTCGAGATAATTATTTTATTTTTATAGTATTAAATAATATAATAGATGATTGAAATTCTCTGTATTACTAAAAGAGATTAAAAAAGTTCAAAAGTTTTTTCCTTCTGCTTATCTTCATACTAATTATTAAAATTTTTTTTTATTTTTAAAGATTTCAAGCTTAAGGGAACAAGATAGAAGACATAATTTTTCACTTAATTGTAAGTATCTGATTTTCTTTTATATGTGTTCTGATTTAAAAAAAGATTTTGACTGAAAACTTTAAGATATTACAAATTGTTATTTTAAATACTGTGCACATAATTTATTTGTAACACTTCCATTACTAATATTTTTGCTGCCAAAGAAAACTTTTGAATTAGTGATTTGTTAAATGCACTGTTGTAAACTAAAATTTATTTTGTGCATTTAATTTCTTTTCCAAATTTTTTATGAATTATATTTTAAATTAAGTTTTTCCTTGTCATATATTTCTCATTACCAAAATTACTAATAGAAGGCAATTCATCTGTAAAGAAAAAATTGAAAGAGAGGCATTTAAATTTTAAGTTATTTTGTTACTTTGAAATTGTTTTGTATTTCTCTGCGAATTGTGAAAAATCAATTCACAATGTGTTGTATATATGGTACCTGATTAAAATATTTCTATAATAAGAATTATAGGACTCTCTTCCTATTAGGATGTAACGAATATTCGGCCACTATTCTGTATTCGGACTACTTGCCGAATATACGGTTGGCCGAGTAATTGGCCAAATATTCGGCAAAGTATTGGGTTGGAGTGAAAGTTCTGTCTTATTTTAAATAGACAGGTGATTTTTCTTGTAAATAAAAAGAACATCTACAGGGTATCCGCGCACCTGGAAAGTCATGAGAAATCATGGAAAGTCATGAATTTTAGTATTGAACAAAATTTGTCATGAAATGTCATGATTTTTACTGTTTTTTAAAGAAAATCATGGAAAGCCATGGATTAAGGTCTCCGAAAAATCTAATTTTTAAAATGGAATCCCCCTCCCCCCAATTTCATCCTGCCANTTTGGAAAAGATATTGTAAATGTTCGTACTTGTCAAAGATGGTTTAGTAAATTTCGTTCCGGGGATATGAGCCTCAAAGAAAGTGATCGATCTGGACGACCATCCAAGATAGATAATGATGTTTTGGGATCCATGTTGAAAAATAATCCACATTACCAAGTCGAGAAATTGCAGAAGAGTTTGGCATTCATCATACAACTGTTGGAGATCACATTAAATCTCTTGGGTTTGTGTTAAAGCAAAGTGTTTGGGTTCCACATGAATTAAGGGAAAAGAATTTTTATGATCGTGTAAGAATGTGTTCATCACATCTGATTAGACACAATGTGCAGCCGGTTTTGGACAGGCTGGTTACTGGAGATGAAAAGTGGATTCTTTACGAGAATATTAAGATNTTGGTTATACCTATCATTTCAATTAATGTTATTATAATGCTTTTTTAAATGTATTGTTCCGTTTTTGTTAGAAAAAATAGTAACTTCGTTAAGTCATGAAAAATTCTTGAAATTAGTCATGGAAAATCATGAAAAGTCATGAATTTGAAAATCTAAAGTGTAGCAGATACCCTGCATCTAGCTAGTGAGTCAGTCTGATTTTTTTGTTTTTTTAGCTGCTGTATAATATAAAAGGTGCCCTTTTCAATTCATCATTTAGTTGTGATATTTAAAGTGAAAAACATGTCAGTAGATAAAGTACATTTACGACACTGCATTTTATATGAATTCCAAAAAGGAAGCAACGCATCTTCTGCATGTAAAAATTTATGTGTGGTATTTGGAAAAGATGTTGTACATGTTCATACTTGTCAAAGATGGTTCAGTAAATTTCGTTCCGGTGATCTGAGCCTCAAAGAAAGTGATCGATCTGGACGACCATCCAAGATAGATAATGACGTTTTGCGATCCATGTTGGAAAATAATCCACATTTACCAAGTCGAGAAATTGCAGAAGAGTTTGGCATTTATTATACAACTGTTGGAGATCACATTAAATCTCTTGGGTTTGTGTTAAAGTTAAGTGTTTGGGTTCCACATGAATTAAGGGAAAAGAATTTTTCTGATCGTGTAAGAATGTGTTCAAAACATCTGATTAGACACAATGCTCAGCCGTTTTTGGACAGGCTGGTTACTGGAGATGAAAAGTGGATTCTTTACGAGAATATTAAGATAAAAAAATCTTACTGCAAACCAGGAGCATCATTAGCAACAGTTCCAAAACCAAGTATCCATCAACGAAAAGTACTGCTTTGTTTGTGGTGGGACAGGAAAGGTTCAGTGTACTACGAGTTGCTGAAACAGGGAAAAACCATCAACGCGGATCTGTACTGCAATCAGCTGGATAAATTGAATGCAGCTATCAAAGAAAAAAGGCCAGCATTAGCGTCCAGAATAGGAATAGTGTTCCACCAGGACTAATGTTCGCCCGCATACTGCAATGGTGACACTACAAAAACTGAATGCGTTAGGATGGAAAATCCTTAGTCACCCACCGTATTCATCTGACATTGCACCATCTGATTATTACCTGTTCAGATCTCTGCAAAATTCTCTAACGGGAAAAAAATTCTAATCTTTTGAAAGTGTTTCTAAGTCAGTTGTTGACTGTTTTAACTCCAAGGACGAGAACTTCTACGAAACAGGAATTCGCAGGTTACCTGAAAGATGGCAACATGTTGTAACAAATAACAGAGCATATATAATTGATTAATATTGAACACATATTTTTATAAATGAATTCAAATATTTTCTTTAAAATACGACAGAACTTTCCCTCTAACCTGATGTTTGGAAAAGTATTTATTTACTAAATTTTCTTTGGGAGGAAGTTTGAATAGATCCAATATAGAGTAATATAAAAGTGTATTTTCTACTATATATTATTAGAAATTGATTTCACACATAATAGTTAAATTCTAAAACTTGTTAATTTATGTTCTGAAAGACAAATGGAAAGGTGAAATTTGAAAAATTGAACCTAGATTACTTTATACTGAACCATGAATTTTGTATTGGTGATTTTTTTTAAAAATTTTATTCAGGCAAGTCAATTTTGACGTTTTTTCAACACTTTGTTTTATAAATTGAGAACTTTTTTATTATTTGTTTCTTTTTTGCTGACTTTTCTGTGTTATAGTGCAGCATTTTAACAAAGCGTTTTTGATAGACTTTTTGTATCGTGACAGCACTTTTTAAAGAGCTTATCTAATGAACCTTATTCTTTTATGATCACTGGTTTTAAAAATGTGAAAAAATTAAATTGAGATTTTTTAGCATTTACTCTTTAATTAAAAAATTTAGAACGATTTCTGTTTTGGTTTCTATCTAGATTAAACTTTACTCTTGCATGAAAAAACAGAAATTAGGAAACAAATGTTTAGCTTTCAAATTTTCTTTCAAAAATTAAGATTGATTTTTGTTTTGTTTTACTTTTGTATGTAATCTTTTTTTTTTTTATCCGTGTTGTGATAACATTACATTTTTAAAAGCCTTTCTGATAGTCATTATGTCTTTTAGCATTTTTCCAAAAAAATTTTCCGAAAAATATTATTTTCAGCATTAAAGATTTGTTTTAAAAATTAAGACTATGTTTTTTTTCTATTTCTCCTTTTTTTTATTCTTTACTACTATAGTTTTTTTTAATAGCTGTTAGTCAGTTTTTTATTTATCTTAAATGTTTCTAATTATCTTAAACATTTTTATAAAAGTTTTTTTTATCCAATAATACAGCAAAGCTTGAATAATAAACTTTCCGTATTTAAAATTTATCTATCTTTCAAGATTATTAAGTGAGTTAATGTCGTGTAAAGAGAAATTAACTTCTGCTGGAATTATTAGTTTTACCTGATTAGATTTTTTTTTCTGGAAGGAAAAGAGGATTATTTTATTTAAATAAAAACATCAATAGCATGTCATTAATGACTTGTAAACGTGATTAATATTGTACAAATTAGCCTGCTTGAGACAATTTTATGTCAACTATTTTTTCTTTTTGTTCTGTTTGAAAAATATGAATTCTAGATACAAAGAACTTAGAAAATTATAAAATAGTACTGATTTTCTTTAAATGTCTCAGCGTGTTTTTATATTATAATAAATGTTTACTTAAAATCACTAATTTATCTCTGAATAAAAGACATTTTAATTTTGTTCTCGAAATAATTAAATATATTTTTACCGGATTTCAGTTGTGTTATAGATACATAGCAAAATTAATTATACAGTGTTTTAAACTGTTTTTATGTATTTTCATGTGTCCTTTTATATTTCTTCTTATATATCCTGTGTTAATACCTAGTTTTTATAGTTTTTCTTTTAATTAAACGATCATAATTAATTTGATAATTGTTTCCAATCTTCTGGTTGTCTCTTTTGCAACTGTGCATATTTTTTTTTACAAAAAGAAGAAAAAAAAACATTGAATTGTTATTAATTTTTGAGTTAAATTTTAAATTTGTTTTAATGCATACATAAGAAACGAAATTAAGAATAAATTGAAAGCCTACAAAATAGATCTTGTTATATTGTTAGGAAAACATCCTGGACCAATAATCATAATTTTTCTTGTTTAAAAAATGGTCATCATAGAAAATAAATTGTGTTAAAACAAAATGGAAATTATTTGCAATATCTGTTGAGTATTTTTTATTAAGTATTATTCTTAACATTTATTTCTATTAAAAAACGGTAGCCATTCTTTTATAGTAGTACTATCATGTGCTGCCATTTTTTGAAAGTTAAGGGGTCACAGTACCTTTGCAACAATTTTTTAAAATAAAGGTATAATCATTCATTTTGAGGATGCTCATTTAAGTTATAATCAATAATTTATCTTCAAAAAATGATTAAACTGCTTAATTTTTTTTAAATTTTAAAAAAAGTCGAAAAAATTTTAAATTTTTAAATTCCTAAGGCTTTTTTATTTTAACATATTTTCAAGAAAAGTTTTTTTCATAGTGCGTGCAATAGTTATCTTAACAATTTTGTGCATTCATTTGTTGATATATCAATTAGAATATTTTTTATAGATTATTTTGTAAAAAAGTAGAAAAAAAAAGGGTAAAAACTCCTGTTAGGTATATATAACATGCCGTAAAAGCTAATAATACCTAAGCTGTAATACCTCATAAAATGCTTATTCCATGCACAGTTTAAATAAGAGTATTANCACATCCGAACTATGTCAATTAAATTATTTTATACAAAATTTTTGCAAGCTATAATCAGTTTTTAGAATTTAAATTTATTTTGATAAACATTTTCATAAGTATTTATGAGGGATGATATGTAGTGAAAACAACAAAATTATGTATTTTTTGTACTAGAATTTTATTTATATTTCTAAAGCTATGAGATAAATTTTGTTTTTCCCTAAGCTGGCGTCTCTGAAGATAGCGATTACACCAGTGATGTCAGCTACCCCACGGTTCAACACCCAAGTGCCTCCGTCCACCATCCTAACAGTTCGGCCTCCCAATATGGCGGAGCTGCAGAGATCACCCGCAGGGCTTCCGAGTATTCCTTTCCCAGAGACAGGGATAAGTATGTTTATTAACGCTTCATTTTTCTTTAAAGGAAATGTACCAATATTGTTTTTACCTTTAATTATTGGAACTTAACATTAATTATTTCAGTCTAAATGTTAAACAGGGTGTGTAGCATTTTTAAAAAGTGCTTAAAAGTGCTTATTTTCGATTTTCATTTCTTAATAGCCCTTAAATGTGCTTTTTTCATTGGGTATTTTTAAAAAGTGCTTAATTTTCCCCTTTTCAAAATGCGATTTTTCCTTTTGCTGTGTTGATTTTCGCTTTGAATTATGCAAAAAGACACAGTTCACATTGTTCTATTCAACCTTTTCACAATTAATACAATCCCAATCTATTTCGGGGTATTGTCAGTCCGTATGAAAACGCCATTCGGTTTACGTGATTCAAAATTTCATGATTTTTGACACAATTGTCAAAAACAATGCCAAAAGTTTTTTTTTTGACCTGACGATTAAAACAAGATGACACCATTAATTGCCAAAAACTTTCTAACCCTGCCTAGTTATGATATTTTTTTAAAGTGCTTAAAAATATTTTTGAGTGCTTGAAAAGTGCTTAAAAGGTGCTTATTTTTTGTTGAATAATTTGGCTATGCACTCTGTTAAAAAAAAAAAACTATCAGGCATGTTGTAATGCAAAATAAAACTGTAAAGCGTGTTGTAAAAGAAATTTTTTTATAGTTCATGTTTGGGAAATGCAAAGAATACAGTTAAAAATTCTAGAATAATATTAGCAAAGCTTTTATTTTTGCTTAAATTTCTTGTCAAACTTCTGTCTTTTAATTTGTTTTTCAGAGAAAAAATACAATTTTTGAAATTGCATTGACTATTTTTAAAATTGCTTTAAATAATCTATGTTACTTAACTTCTTAAATACAGCACTTAGCATGCTAAAGATGTTATTCTGGTACATTTATTGTACTAGCCATAGAAAAGAGCTATTAAATATTCATTATAAATTATTGTAATTACAGCTTTAAAAGTTTAATTTTTAAACATTTTACAACTTGTTTGCATGAAAAGTATGCTTTAATGTTATTGTTCAAATCTTATATGTTGAATTAATGACCATTTAAATTAAAATATGGAAATTATTTTTTCATACAAAGAAAAGAAGAAGAAAAACTCACGTTACAGTCTATGCTCTTTAGTACTACCTCTTTTCCATTACAGCATTGATAAAATCCTTTTTGCTATTGAATCGATGCAATGTTATTTTAACATTCATTAAAATGTCCTTGCTGAACGGTTCGTTCCAATATTGGGACCAAGATTTAATAATTTTGTTTTGAAAAGTTTCAAAGAAATTATTTAAACCATTGATTGCTTGATGTTAATACACAATAGTTTAAAACAGCTTGACTTCTCCTTTAAATGAATGACGAGTAAATTGTACCCTAAAATTTTGTACTTAGTACTAAGTAGTCATAAAGTATGGGCATTAGTTGGTTATATTACTTACCTTTCAAATAATGCAATAAATTTGTCTATCATACTTTTCTTGTCGCAAAAATCGTATTCACTCTTTTTGGGACACGTTAGTCTCCTTTTTTGGTGTATTGAGTTAAAATATGTAGTTTTCACAGTTATCTTGATGCATGTTGTTTATCAAAAATTTCAGCCCCAAACCAGTGTATTATTTTTTATATTTTCTTTTATTTCTCACCTATGAAGTATTATTTTAAAGAGTTCTTTTATGTTTATATTAATCTAGAAATAAATGTTGCTTTATTAAAAATTTTCTGTTAGATACCTAATTTTTATTAACTGAAAGCATTGCTTTGTTAAAATTAGTTAGGAATTTGTTTTTAGCTACGAATTAATATTTTTTTTCTTTTCTTTTTTTGCACTCATGATTTAGAATTTTTTTACTGGATCAAGAGCATTGTTCGTCTTGTATTTTATTTTATTGCGTTCATATTGTATTTTAAAATGCTGCAAGTTAAGTTTTTATATTTATTTGCCCAGAATGTATGATACTCCCTAAAATTAATGCCTTTTCTTAAATTATTGTAAGAAATAATAACCACTTATCTAATTTCTTATCGAAGAAAATTATTTTAAGAATTTTGTTGACGTAAATTTCAGAAAAAATGCTTCTGGATTCAAACTTACTTTGGTTTTTAAGCAAAATAAAAATCAATGTAGTTCAAAATTATGGGTTTAAATAACTGATTTTCAGGAAAAAAAGTCATATATATTTTTTGAAGCAAATCCTTTATTGGATTGATTTATTTTGCTGTTTTGTGTTTCAGGTATATTGAACATGGTAATAGTTATGAAACAGAGTACGAAAATGCTCCTGTTAATTCTAGGGATCGAATTGACTATATGGATAGAAATTCTTTAACTGAAGATCCTTTGTATTATAATAGTCGACCAAATCATCGTATGAATTCGCACAGCACTGACCGGTATTTTTTTACTTTATTATACATTTTTGAAATTAATCTAAAATATTTAAATTTCAAAGAATATTATCCAGAATAATGCCCTGCTCTCTAGAGCTGTCCATCCTCTAAATCTGATTTAATCCAATCCAGAATAAATAATTCCAGTAATTTAAGATGGATAAAACACATTTTTTTGGTGATTCAATAGTTCTTATTATTATTGAATAAATTATCAAAAACGACATTGTTTACATTTTTCTGCTGTTACATTGGCTGTTATCCACTTAAATCTTCTATTATTGCTACTTATTTTTAAAATCTTATATTAGACTTTAATCCTTAATCCAGGTAATGCTATTTTATTAATTATATTACTGTTTTGGGAGGTTAAGTGTTTCTGTCAAATATTTATTGCTTGGCCCAGTGTAGGGAATTGTAATGTATTCATGGTATTCGGCAAATTCCAGGCAAACAATAACACTTTTTACTTAAAAATCATTAATAAATATTTTTTTTATGAATAAATAAAATTAGTCATTAAAAATTAATCAAGACTTTGGTATATTATTCATATTAGCAAATTAACTTTCACATTTTTTAAAAAAAGTAACCATGTGGCAAAAAGTAACCAGAATGACATTTAATAAAAACGCTCTTTAAAAAATGTTGTGTTTTAATATAAATGCTTATAAAAAGAAAAATTAATGAAAAAAAGCAACCAAAAAAAAATTGTTTTTATTTCTTAAAATATAATTAATGTTGAAAGTCATAGCTTTCTTTGTTACTGATTATCTGTCTTACCGTACAAGAAGAAAAGTAAATAGTCTATCAAAATGTCAAAAGAAAGAATAGTTTATGAAGAAAGCTCCCTTAAAATGCAGCACTATAATAAAAACAACTAAAACGTCGGGGGGAGGGGCATTCTCAATTCTTCTAACAAAAAGTGTTGATAAAAAGGGCCAATTTCTTTTGCCTGAATATATATATATTTAAAAAAAAAGCAGTACAAAACACATGGTTCAATATTAAGTATTCTAGTTCCAATTCTTCAGTCCCCTTTTCCAGAACATAAATTTGCAGGAACATGAATTTTAGAACTTAAACAAATATGTGTAAAAACTCTTTCTAATAATGTATAGTAAAAAATACTGTTTTAGATTATTCTTTATTTAATCTGTCTAAACTGTCTAAAATAAACTGTCTAAATATTTAAAAAATAAATATAATATATAAAAACTAAAAAATATTTTTTAAAAAACTAATTTGTCTAATATTTGGTCAAACATTCGGCTAATATGCCGAATATTTTTTATATCCCTAGCACAGAGAATATTAATTCCACTCAAAGTAACCTCCTCACTAACTGTGTTACATTCTAAAATCTAGCAATTAATATTTATGAACTGATTTTCATATTCATTTGTTTTATTTTTGTTCATGGAAACTTCAGATAACAAGTGTTTATGTCTATCTACATAAATAATATGCTTCCTTTATAGCTGAAACATCTTTTTGAATTATCGTTATAATTTTCTGACGAAAATATTATTTTGAAATTCTTATTTCATTTACTTTAGTACTAAATGAAAAGTAAACAGGAAAATAAATAGATATATAAATAAGTACATAAAAAAAGAAAATAAATTAGGAAATAAATAAAAGTATTTAAATTAATGTTAGGGCATATTTTTTTAAAAAAAAAAAAAAAAAAAAAAAAATTAAAAAAA